GTGCTAGCTGCTGGCAACGACTTCGCCTGGGAATGGCCCACTACGGCTGTGACTGGTTGGAAGTCGAAGGCAATCAAGAGGCTTTTGTTTCTGCTGAAGCGCTATGGCCGGACAGCCTACTGGATCAGAGTGGATGGCTGCGCTTATGGTCTGGAATGGCGTGGTGTACCTCTACGGAAGGCATGGACCATCCTCACCAGCAGCCGAGAGATGTGGCTGGCAGTCAACAAGAGGTGTGATCGAAGCCATGAACACGCCGTGTGCCGGGGAGAAGCTGCTCAGGCTTCGGCCTACTACCCCAGGAGGCTATGTCAAGAAGTCTGCAAGGCGATGGCACACCACTGGCGACATCAGTCACGCTCGGTGGAGAGAGATGTGGAGAACTATCTGTTGTCCGCTGAGGAGCCCACTGACATCTACGACGTGACTTCCACCTCGGACTACCAGCGACTACATCCTGGACAATGTGATCACGAAGTGCTGGCGCTGAGTCGAAAGAAGCTGGACCTGGCGACGGCACCAACAGGCCGCAAGTTGGAACAGGTGAAGCAATTGATGCTACGTGTTCATCGTGCTAGCGGGCACGCGGGGATGTCTAACTTGGTCCAACTTCTACAAGCACGAGGCGCACCTGGATGGGCATTGGAGCTGGCGGGCAAGTTGAAGTGCCCTGAATGTGAAGAGGCGGCGAAACCGAGGCCGCAGCCACCCGCTTCTACTGGTGAGGACCCCAAGATCTATGAGATCCTTGGAACTGATGTCTTTGAGTATGAGGATGAAGAGAAGCAGGTGAAGCACAAGCTCATCCTATGGCACGACAGAGGTTCATCTTTGACGATGATCGACCACCTCATGGAGTACACGGGCGCCTGGGAGCCACGCACTGAAAACATCATCCAGTCTCTGAGCAAATGGCTGATGACGTATCCCCAGCCAAAATGGATGCTGGCAGATGCTGCACGATATTACTCCAGTTCGGAGATGATGAACTTCCTGAACCGACCTGGCATTGGCTTGACGATTGCACCGGCAGAAGCGCACTGGATCATGGGGCACGAGGAGTCTGCGATTAACCTGGCGAAGAGAACGGTCGATCGTCTTCGCAGAGAAGGTTCAAAGCTGCAAGTTCCTGAGCTCTTCAAGATGGCGGCAGCAGCAATGAACTCCCATGTTGGACCCAGTGGCTACAGTGCTTTCCAATGGGCATTTGGCTCAGGTGGCAGCGTGCTGGATGATGAACAGCTGGTTCAAGGAATTGCACCAAAGAGAGCTTTCGATGGCCTGATGAAGGAGCGGGAGAAGGCACGGATCGCTTGCGAGCGAGAAAGAGCAGGCGAGAGATTCTCCAAGCTGGCCAACACGGTCGGTCGCAAGGTGGAGACCTACAAGACAGGACAACTGGTGATGCTTTGGCGGCAGAAGGTGAAGCCGGGCAAGGTCAAAGGAAACTGGACAGGTCCTGTTCGGATCATCCTCATGGAGGGCTCCACCGCATGGCTCTGTTCAGGAGCCACTCTCATCAGAGCCAAGGTCAACCAGATCCGACCTGTGTCATCGAGGGAGCAGTTGGATGCCACTCTGGAAGGAACGGCGATCTATCGCACTCCCATCTCCGTCGAGTCCCTCATGCGAACCTTCCAAGGCCGGTACTACCTCGACGTGGCAGGTGATGTTCCTTCTGAAGATCGACAACGATCCAACTTGGCACCAACGACTGTCATGGCTGAGCCGGCTGGTGGACAAGGCAGTGATTCATGGTCACTACATAAAGAAGGTGCCCTACGAGTTCTTGTACGGCATCATGGACTGCCGAGACTCGCATTGTTCAATCCTGCACGGGCCACAAACTGCCCAGCGTCGCTCGATGATCTCACTGGCAAGAGGACAACTATCATCAAACCAGTTCATGGTGGAGATCCAGTCACCATAGAGGATACCATCGACATCCAGAGAACACTTCAAGACAGGTGGACTGGCGAAACTCGCTTTGAGCTGAAGTCAGCATCAAGTTCTTCCTCTTCAAGAGCCAGAAAACGGAAGAGCGAGGCAGATGGACCGCAAGCACTAGAAGAAGGCCCTGAAGCTGGACAAGTTGAAGTACCCGATTCTGAACAAGGTGATGTACAAGCACCTGGCGGGGAGAGCTCTGAAGCTCCTGGCACTTTGACCGAAGCACTTCAGAAGAAGGGAGCTGACGCAGTTGATGCGACGCCTCTCCGAGGTGAATCTGGAGCCAATAGATGCCCCGTACCTGAATGTGACCTTCCTGGAGGACATGCAGGGCACCATCAGGACCGAGACGGTCGAACCTTCATGTATGATTTGTATGAAGGAAGAAGAGCTCCAACTTCGGGAGAGAAGGAGGCGGACATCTCTTCATCATCCTCGAGCTCTTCATCCCAAAGATCAAGATCGGCAAGTTCAGAAGAGCTAGTGGTGGAAGAACCCAGTTCGAAGAAGCCAGCAAGAGGAGAAAGGTCAAGGTCACCCCGGTCAAGAAAGAAAGATGAAGAAGATACTTTCCTGGTCTTCAACCTGGAGGTGGACGAGGACGACTTTGATTGGTTGGCGAAGAACCGGCACCGGAAGAGGGCAGCAGTCTGGCTGAGCAAGAAGATGTCTGCAAAAGGTCAAGAGGTGATCTGGCAGCGGCTTCCCTTGAAGGAGAAGCAGGAGTATGACATGGCAATGGCCAAGGAAATCAGCCAGGTGGCGATTAGCCGCGCGCTGCGAAACCTTACCGACAAGGAGGCGAAGGAGCTGGATCCGGCCACGCTGATGCGAATGCGGTGGGTGCTCACTCGCAAACAAGATGGAATGGCCAAGGCTCGCCTTGTCGTACTTGGCTTTATGGCGCACAATTTGACTGAAGTCCAAACCACTTCACCAACGATGAGCAAGGTGGGGCGCAATGTTCTCTTGGCAATCACTGCAGGAATGAGATTCCACCTTCGAAGCGGGGACGTGACGTCCGCTTTCCTGCAGACTGGCACGAGCCTGGAGGACGAGAACCTGACGGTCCTGGCTCCGCCGGAGCTAGCCGCGATGTTTGGTGCGGCGCCTGGAGACACAAGAGCCCTACGGGTGCGAGAAGCTTTCTATGGGCTTGCACATGCTCCAAGGAAGTGGTGGGAGAAATGTGTTGCCACGCTGGTTGGACAGGGATGGACGCAGTTGCTTGGCGACAATTGCCTCTTCGCTCTCTTCGAGGCAGATGCGGTGGAGGCAAATAAGAAGATCCTAGTCGGTTTGGCTGGAATCCATGTGGACGATTTCCTGATCTCAGGATCCCCGACCTCCGAGTACTACAAGACCCGTGAAGAAGAGCTGGCAAAGGCTTTCCGATGGGGCAAGTGGGAGGAGAATGAAATCAACTTCGCTGGAACAACCATCAAGCAGACGATGGACAAATCCATTACCCTGGATCAACACTCCTACACGCTCCAATGGATTGAGGAAGTGGAGTTTGACAAGAATAAGGCCCGCAAGACACCCTTGGAGGCCAAAGAGATCTCGGCAATGAGGGCGGCTCTCGGAACCATCAGCTGGCGAGCCACTCAGAGTGCACCGCAGTTCCTTGCGGAAACCTCATTGCTTCTGAGCGAGATCAATGGTGGCACCATTGAGAGCCTTCACAAGGTGAACAAGCTGGTGCGCGAGATCCGCAGGGAGTCAGGGCAGGCTCTACTCTTCCCATCATGGGGAGTTTCCTCGGTTCGGGACTTGGTGGCAGTGACTTGGGCAGATGCTTCACAGCACAACCGACCTGACAGGTCAAGCACTCTCGGTGTCCTCACGGGCATCGGACCAGCAGCAGCCTTGGAGGGCGAGGAAGTCCAATTCGCCCTGGTGCAATGGAAGTCTGGTCGAACCCCACGACAAGTCCTGGGATCCAATGGCGCTGAAGTCCAGGCCATCACAACAGGAGAGGATCAAAACCACATGATCAGGCTCCTGATGGCTGAGCTGGATGGCGAGCCGATTGACCGGAGCAACTTGGCAACGGCAGTGCAGAAGATAGGAGGGGCTTTGGTGATGGACAGCCGCGGAATCTTCGACGCGATGACGCGGAACCTCTCCTCGCTGCATGGGCTTCGCGACTCCCGGAGCGTCTACGAGCTCACCATTGCGGTGAACTCGGCTCTCAAAGCCGGCACTCAGCTGAGGTGGGTGAATGGCTTGGTGCAGCTGGCAGACAGCTTGACAAAAGCTGGTGCTCGCAAGACGATCCTCCACTTTCTGAGCCAACAACAGAGATGGAGGTTGGTTCACGACCCAAAGTTCGAGTCAGGCAGACATGTCCACAAAAAGGCCATGGAGAAGAAGCTTCGAGAGCTGCAAGGGCAGCAAGTAGCTTTTGTGGCGGCCCTGAAAGCGATGGCTTTGAAGCATCGCTGGCCATGGGACGATGACGCCGAAGCGGAAGCGCCCTTGTAAAGCAAAGGCCAAAAAGGCCAGGGGTGCTGTGGATGCAAGCATGGCGGTCATGGTTCACATGTTCAACTCTCCGCTGTAGGGCAGGGCTCGAGCACAGAGCGCAAAAGGGGCGTCGGTGTCCTTTTTGCCCTTAGGTGGGCACCGGTCGCGCTAGGGGTAGCGCATTGCAAGTAGTAATGCCCTTCTAGTCAATTGGTGGTGATAGTGATAACGTTGAATTAGTTGCAGGAATGGCACCTGTCTAGAACGACAAACACAGTGCTGACGAAAGACAGAGTCTCTCTGTTTTGGAGTCTTCCCTACAAGCCCATTTTGAGCACGTTTGCTCTAAAGCAAATCCAATTCATGGAATGCGTAGAATGACTGTTCAGGTATGTCCCAAAAGCAGCTTCATTTGGATGCATTTGGGGACTGGGCGGGAATGAGATCCACATCCTTTCTTATCATCATTTACTTTCTTCTCGCAGCAGAACCATATACTGTAGGTGGTATAACTTAACTAACTCAATAGTTTGATGAGTGGCTTTTGGTGAAACTTGAAGAAATAGAGGGTGACAGATGAGGTCTTGAGCGAGAAAACTGCGTTGGACGCCTTGAAGGCGCGAGGGCCTGTTAGCAAGGGGACTCTGGTATGATCCAATGCAACATAAGCATTGTGATTGTGGGTTAAAAAGCAACGAGCAGCACAATCACAAGGTTTGCGCAAGAACTTCTTCTTCCCCTTGTGCATGTCCAAGGAAGCACCCTGCACTATTCTGCAAATTGATGTATATATAATGTATATATGACAATCGTAAGCGAACATGTGTGTATATATATACACACATGTGTTGTGGAAGTTAGGTAGACCACTTCCTGAAGAAAGATGGCTGCAATGGCTGGTTCTTGGTTGTGAGCAGAGTTGTTACCTTTCTTGGTTTTATTATTTGGCTTCTGGCATCAACATTTAATATGTACAGTAACATATTATGTAACTAAGTATGGCTAGTAACACCACCCCGAAAGTATTTTGGAGTCTTCAGCCTTACCCTGAAGATCAGATGCACAAAAAGACCAAGAGGTGATCAATCCTCCCTCTTTTTAGATGAAGAAGCGCCGGAACTATGCTGGTTTCAATTGGAACGAGGGGACACTACACAGCAACTTTTCAGTTGTTGGTCAGTGGTTTTGTAGTTTGCAGGCACGCTGATGAGACAGGTCCAAGAGTTCTTGAAAACAAACCGCGACCCACCCTTTGCCGGACTCTTTCAGGTTAGGACTGTATATCGACCCTAGAAGCGATCGCCTCCCTAGTAGCTTCTTGATGTCCTAGCTACGAGTAGCGATCCCTTTGTTACTAATAGCGATGGCCTCCAACCTATTCGCACAATCAATTACACATATAATGTCTTGATTGCTTTGGCGATGAATGCCTGAGTGGGAGGCCAGATCGGCGGCAGCTGCTGCGTTGGGGGCACTCAGCACTCTGCTTTGTGCTACTATCGTTTAAAATATGGCAATGAAGACAAATTGTCTTGAAGAGCTTAGGGATGGTA